GACCATGATCCAGCGGCACAAGCTGAGCGAAGAGGACTTCCGATGGCCAGGAATTTAAGGATCACGCCCTGCCGCTGAAAGGCAACAACGACATCCTGAGTATAACGCAGCCCGACGTCATTTATCAAATCCATAAGGTAACGGGTCGCCAGGCGCGGGTCCTTGCAGCCTGCCATGCCTCCCACCCGTGTCATGCACTCAGGGCAGAACACTGTCCTGGGTGCCCTGGAGGAGGGTACACACACTTGACACAGCTCTCAAAACAGTGCGTGAACTTGTCTGAGGTCAAGCTCTGTGTTTATTTATTTTCTTAAAATATATTTTTATTGATTTCAGAGAGGAAGGGAGAGGGAGAGAGATAGAAACATCAATGATGAGAGAGAATCATGGATCGGCTGCCTCCTGCATGCCCCCTACTGGGGATCAAGCCCGCAACCTGGGCATGTGCCCTTGACTGGAATCGAACCCGGTACCCTTCAGTCCCCAGGCGGATGCTCTATCCCAGTGGTCGGCAAACTGCGGCTCGCGAGCCACATGCGGCTCTTTGGCCCTTTGAGTGTGGCTCTTCCACAAAATACCAACTTCTGCGCATGGGCCACGAAGTTTCAATCGCACCGTACATGTGCGCCCGCACAGGTATTTTGTGGTATTTTGTGGAAGAGCCACACTCAAGGGGCCAAAGAGCCGCATGTGGCTTGCGAGTCGCAGTTTGCCGACCACGGCTCTATCCACTGAGCAACGCCGGCTAGGGGCCAAGTTTTGTGTTGATTTACACCACCCGCCTGTCTATGCAAGTCTTACATCTGTTTGCGTCTCCGGCCTCCAGTGCAGTGCCGTATGCTTAGTAACTGGTCAGAGGCTGTTTGGGGGGGATGGTGTTGAAGAGGCATGTTTGTTGTTGGGGGACAGGGATTCTAAAACTCAGCGCTGACATTCCTGTCTCATTGCAGGATTACCTGCTGGCTGGGGCTGATATCATTGAAACAAACACTTTTAGCAGCACTAACGTTGCCCAAGCGGACTATGGCCTGGAGCACTTGGTAAGACGCCCATTTTCCTTCATAACTAAGATGTTTGTGAGCGTTTATCACGTCGCTTGTTGCTAGTGAGACAACCACCTGAAGCGAATGCCTACTTACCTGTAGTTTGTGCTCAGACGGAAATGGTTTGACTCTCGTCCACTTACGAACATAGCAGCCTGTTCATTTTCCATCTGGCTTCTTTTATGGGCAAGTAATAATCAAATAAAAATGATGCTTATTATGCAGTGACTATCGATAAAGGCATAATGATTGGTTGTGTGCACTATTTTGTGAGGCCTTTTTTTAAAACTTCACCTGAGGATATGTTTATTGTTTTTTTGTGTTTTTTTTAGAGAGAGGGGAAGGGGGAGAGAGCAAGAGAGAGAGAGAGAGAAACATCGATGTGAGAGGGAAGCATCTGTCAATTGCCTCCCATATGTGCCCCAACCTGGGTGGGATTGAACCTGAACTCGCAACCTGGGTATGTTCCCTGACCGGAAATCAAGCCCGCACCCCTTTGGTGCATGGGACAGTGCTCTAACTACTGAGCACACCGGTCAGGGCTTGTGAGGCCTTTTTAAGTATTGGGTGGTAGATTTGATTTCCTTTTTCTTTTTTTTTTGGTGGCAAAATACATGTAACATAATATTTAGCATCCCAACCATTTTTAAGTATAAGTTTAGTGGCTGGCCGATGCTCTATCCACTGGGCCAGACCAGCTAGGGCAACCTTGTCTCTCTTTAAATTGTAGGTAGTGCTTTGTACATTTGTGCATACTTGCTTTTATTTCCTAGGGAGAGGGTTCACGGACCTTTACCAAATATCAAGAGGTTAATAATCTACAAAAAGTTCAGAACCATCGCTCACAACCATTGTTTGGTGAAGGAAATCAGGGCCTAAAGAGGTTCCAAGGGAACTGCTGGGGCTGACAGTGACG